AAACTCAAAGTTGGTTATAAATTTAGGCCAAAATGTATTCTGCTCCATGTTTTTGGTAAAAAAAATCCCAATAAGTGTATTTTGATTGCTTTGTGTGGAAGTTATAGCGTCTACAAACTATGGTATAGATACTGCAATTTACACCATTTTTCTGCTATACAGCGCTGCGCTAGTTTAACGGATAATTGCGCGGTCATGCAATACGGTACATAAATGAAATTTACATCCTTTTTTCCCACAAATTGAGCTTTCTTTCGGTGGTATTTGATCGCCTGTGCGGTTTTTATTTTTTGCGCTATAAAAAGAAAGGCTGACAATTTTGAGGAAAAAAAACAATATGTTGGACTTTTTGCTATAAAACATGTCCAGTAAAAAAAAAAATTAAAAATCAAATTTATTCATAAATTTCTGCCAAAATGTATTCTGCGACATGTTTGCTAAAAAAAAAAAAAAACCCAATACGTGTAAATTAATTGATTTACGTTATAGCGTTTACAAATGGCGGGAAAGATACTGGAATTTTTAGTTTTTTTTTTATACTAATAATGGCAGTGATCAGCGACTTATGGCGGGACTGCGGTAGACATTCTGACATTGGGGGGTACTGACTTGGGGTCACTGACATCCCCAGTGACACCAATACAGTGATCAGTGCAAAAAAAAAAAAACACTGACACTGTACTAATGGCACTGGGGAGGAAGGGGTTAACTTTATTATTCAATGAAAGGGTTAACTGTGTGAGGGGAGTGTTTTACTAGGGGGCGGGGGGGGATGTACTGCAGGGAACACCGCTGATCGGGAGAGAGAAACTCTTCTGTCCCGATCAGCGTCTCCTGGAGCTGTCAGCGGTTGCCACTGATCGCCGGGACATAGCCGGTAACGACCGGCTGTGACCCGGCGACTGACATCCGCGGCTGTGATCGGCGGGACAGGTAGGGCGGCAGCGCGCCTCACGCGGGCCCCCTACCTGTTTACAAAACACACGTTTTAAAACGTGCTTTTGCCCAGCCGTGCCGCTCTGCCAACGTATTTATACAGTGGCTGGGCGGCATGTGGTTAACCACCGGGCTATACCGGACACTTTTACCCACTTCCTGCCCAGGCCAGTTTTCAGCTTTCAGCACTGTTGCACTTTGAATGACAGTTGCGCGGTCATGCAACACTGTACCCATATGAAATTTGTGTCCTTTTTTGTTTGAGGCATTTAACTCTGTTTTTAACTTTTTTGCTCTATAAATGAAAAAAGACCGAAAATTTTGGAGAAAAAAAACAGTTTTTCTTTTTCTGTTGTAACATTTTGCAAATAAATAATCTTTCTACAAAAATTTAGGCCAAAATGTATTCTGTTACACTTCTTTGGTGAAGTGAAATTAGTCTGGCTGACAAACATCCATCCAGTTCAACCAAAAAAAAAGTTATAATCCTATACCCACAGTTGATCCAGAGGAAGGCAAAAAACCCCCAGCAAAGCATGATCCATTTGCTCCTGCAGGGGAAACAAAATTCCTTTCTGATCCCCCGAGAGGCAATTGGATTTTCCTTGGATCAACTTTACCCAGGGGTGGGCGGACTGACCATTTGGAAACTCGGGCACTTCCCCAGTAGGGGGCCCCATGAGATTCCCCTGGTACCTTTTTCATAGGCTTTTTTGAGTTTGGGCAAGGACACACGGGCCCCATGATCCCTTATTGCCCGGGGGCCCCATGAGTTGTCAGTCCACCCCTGACTTTACCTATAAATGTTAGTATTCCGTTATATTCTGTGTATCCAAGAAAGAGAATCCAGGACTTTTTTTTTTTTTTAAAGCAATCCACTGAGCTGGCCAGAACCAACTCTTGAGGGAGTCTATTCCACATTCTCACAGCTCTTACTGTGAAGAAACCTTTTTGTATTTGGAGATTAAATCTTTTTTTTTTTTTTTTTTTTTAATCAGGACAAGTAGATTGTTATGACCTCTCTGCGGCCTTCGACACAGTCGACCACCCCCTCCTCCTCAAAAAACTACACTCCCTCGGCCTCAGAGATTCTGCTCTCTCCTGGCTCTCATCCTACCTGTCACAACGCTCCTTCAGCGTTACCTATAATGCTACCACCTCCCCCTCACTCCCCCTCTCTGTTGGGGTCCCTCAAGGCTCTGTCCTCGGGCCCCTTCTCTTCTCCATCTATACCTCCTCCCTTGGCCAACTCATACACTCTCACGGCTTCAACTACCACCTCTATGCCGACGACACACAAATCTATCTCTCAACCCCCCACCTCACCCCCTTGGTCTCAGCCCGAATCACACACCTACTGAGCGACATATCAGACTGGATGTCGCTCCACTTCCTTAAATTGAACCTCTCCAAAACCAAATTTCTTGTCTTCCCCCCAGCCCGGACACCACCCCCCATTGATTTCTCCGTCACATCCAACAACGCTACCATCAAACCCGCCCCGCAGGCCAGAGTACTGGGTGTCATTCTGGACTCCAACCTATCCTTCCAGCCCCAAGTCCAATCTTCAACAAGCTCGTGCAGACTCCACCTCCGCAACATCGCCAAAATCCGCACGTTCCTAACCCCAGAAACCACTAAACAGCTCATCCACTCCACTCCATCATATCACGACTCGACTACTGCATCTCCCTCCTCACTGGCCTGCCTCGCTGCTGGCTATCCCCGCTTCAGTCTATCCTGAATACGGCTGCCAGACTCATCCACCTTTCCAACTGCTCTGTCTCCGCCACCCCCCTCTGCCAATCCCTCCACTGGCTTCCGATTGCGCAACGGATCAAATTCAAAATCCTAACGCTGACGTACAAAGCTGTCCACCATACTGCCCCGAACTACATCACTGACCTAATATCCAAGTACCGCCCAGCACGCACACTCCGCTCCTCACAAGACCTCCTTCTCTCTAGTTCCCTGGTCTCCTCCTCCCATGCCCGCCTCCAGGACTTCTCCAGGGTGTCACCCATCCTCTGGAACTCCCTGCCCCAACCCATCAGATTATCACCTACTCTCCTCTCCTTTAGGCGCACCCTGAAAACCCATCTCTTCAGGGAAGCCTACCCCACCCCCTGCTAACTTGCCAACCTCCTCCACTCTTCCTACCACTCCATCCCCCACAGCTATCTCCTCCTGTGCCACCATCCCCTCCCTCCTAGATTGTAAGCTCGAAAGAGCAGGGCCCTCAATCCCCTCATGTTTTGCATTGTATTGGTATTGTTCTGTCACATGTTCTGTTCCCCTTTGTAATGTACAGCGCTGAGCGAACTATTGGCGCTTTATAAATACTGTATAATAATAATAATAATAATAATAATGAGGGACAAGTAGGCTGGGACCCTGATTTATTCTCTTGGATAAGTAGTTTTTTTTTAAAATGTTCACACCCCTGTAGTCAAACAGATATGTTTTCTGACATCTCCCTATTTTTCCAATTTTCACCATACTGTGTAGCATCCTGAAAACTATTGATAAAATTGCAGTGTGTGTTTATATTCTTTAATGCAGAAGGGTTTATATGGCTGATTTTCAGGGGTCCTGCTGTTAATCATTGGCTGAAATGTTTTTTGTTATTTAAAGCTGAACTCAAAGATATTAAAAGAAAAAAAAACACAAAATTTAATGCAATTTGTGTTTTTTTTTAGAAAAAAATTAGTCTAGAAATGGAAATATGACATGCTGTATCTGCTTCTGGCGCCTGTTTTGAATGTGGTCAGTAGTGTACAGTGTTGACACCGAAGGTTCGATACAGTAGGTAGACCAGTATTTTGTCACCCTACTTCAAACACAAATGAATCTACAATATTTTTCCAGGATTTATGTGTGAATCAAACACTAAGTGACAGAAGTGTATTTATATTGTCGAAAATAAAAGGAAGAACTTCCTGCGCTAAGAATGGGGCCCTATTCAACAAGCTGCTAACACAAACCCCCTTACCAAAATGAGTGAATACACATAAATATAAAGTGCAGCGCTATCCCTAAACTTACTAAATGAATAAATATAAAATGCAACCTAACTGTGCAAAATATAACAGTGCTCTAAATAATACCAAAAAGGTACTAAACCTATGTGCAAAATGTGCAATTACAAAAAAGTGCAACCCGTGTATTCCCAAAAGGGAATAAAAAGTGACAATTAGTGACAATCTCAACAAAAAATCACTGCAAACATCTGTTATATGAAAAATAAGTCCATAAGGAAAATATAGTGTCCAAATACAACAGATGTTTGCAGTGATTTTTTGTTGAGATGGTCACTAATTGTCACTTTATTCCCTTTTGGGAATACACGGGTTGCACTTTTTTGTAATTGCACATTTTGCACATAGGTTTAGTACCTTTTTGGTATTATTTAGAGCACTGTTATATTTTGCACAGTTAGGTTGCATTTTATATTTATTCATTTAGTAAGTTTAGGGATAGCGCTGCACTCTATATTTATATTGTCGGTTAATAATTGGTGAACAGTAGGGTTGAGCTGTGATGTATGAGTAGGAGGTTTTGTGCCTGCAGTCAGAAATCTGTCAAAACTAAAGAATCAGCAATGAAGAAAAAAAACTCAATAACTGAGAGAAGAGTTATCCCTGTCTGAACTCTACAAGATTAAGTTTCCCCTCAAGTAACACGCAGGTAAGCTGCCCCGGTACTCTACAGCCACGCCTTTGACAATTCCAAAATGTACATACCAGGATATTTCTCACACTGATCTTTGGTGCAGTTATAACTTGCTGCTTTAAGCTGGTCACACACATCGTAGTTCAAAAATTTTGTTCAAAAAGTTTCATCTTTGGAAAGCTCATTCAGTTTTCTGTTGGTTAACGTGGCCGTATTAACATTCGTTTTCAACTGTAGTGATAAGAAAATTGAAAGGAGCAGAGCATTTTTCTCAAAGGAACAAACTTCAAACAGTGATTGTGGTTTTTGCTCAAGAAGGATCGTGCAAATTGTAATGAAACCTGTTTAATGGTGTCTGGAATTCAAATGACAGGTCTGGACGAAATTTGAAGGGCTTTCAGACAAAATTAGTTGACTCAGTGATGAAAAAAGAATGTTCTGACCAGGGGCGGACTGACAACTCATGGGGCCCCCGGGCAATAGGGGATCATGGGGCCCCTGTGTCCTTGCCCACACTCAAAAAAAGCCTATAAAAAAAAGGTACCAGGGGCATCTCATGGGGCCCCATACTGACCCCGGGCCCTCGGGCAGTGCCCGAATGGTCAGTCCACCCCTGGTTCTGACAAATGATGTTTCAGAATTTCCATACAAATGTTTCAATGAATGTCAAACCATGTATGACAAGAACATACCCAAACCCATGGCTCCGCTCCAGACTGGCTCATTTTATCCCACATGGACAACCAGGTGCTGGCTACAACAGTCCGTCTTCGTTGTCTAGTTATTATTATTATTATTATACAGTATTTATAAAGCGCCAACAGTTTGCTCAGCGCTGTACATTACAATGGGGGACAATACATGAGACAGTACAATAACAATACAATGCGATACACGAGGGGTTCGAGGCCCTGCTTCTTGGAGCTTACAATCTAGGAGGGAGGGGATGGTGGCACAGGAGGAGATAGCTGTGGGGGATGGAGTGGTAGGAAGAGAGTGGAGGAGATTGGCAGTTAGCAGAGGGTGGGGTAGGCTTCCCTGAAGAGATGGGTTTTTAGGGTGCTCCTAAAGGAGAGGAGAGTTGGTGATAGTCTAATGGATTGGGGTAGGGAGTTCCAGAGGATGGGTGATGCCCTGGAGAAGTCCTGGAGGCAGGCACGGGAGGAGGAGATCAGGGAACTAGAGAGAAGGAGGTTTTGTGATGAGCGGAGTGTGCCTGTTGGGTGGTACTTGGATATTAGGTCAGTGATGTAGTTCGGGGCAGTATGGTGGACGGCTTTGTACGTCAGTGTTAGGATTTTGAATTTGATCCGTTGGGCAATCGGAAGCCAGTGGAGGGATTGGCAGAGGGGGGTGGCAGAGATAGAGCTGTTGGAAAGGTGAATGAGTCTGGCAGCCGTATTCAGGATGGACTGAAGCGGGGATAGCCAGCGGCGAGACAGGCCAGTGAGGAGGGAGTTGCAGTAATCGAGTCGTGATACGATGAGGGAGTGGATGAGCTGTTTAGTAGTTTCAGGGGTTAAGAATGGGCGTATTTTGGCGATGTTGCGGAGGTGGAGTCTGCACGAGTTTGTTAGCGATTGGACTTGGGGCTGGAAGGATAGGTTGGACTCCAAAGCTTAGCTCTTCTTTTTGTGTTTAATTTGTCACAAAAAAAAAAGACTGTATACATTGATGTCTCTACCCGAAGCCAACCTTTTTTGATGCATTTTATTACTGCTGGCTTGCTCTCAAGAATAGGGGACTATCCCCACTGCAAGCCAGCAGTGGTGAAACGCATCGAGGAAGGTTGGTTTTGGGTGGAGACCTCAATGTATGCATTCTTTTTGACAAATTAGCACAGACAGAAGAGCTATATTTTGGAATGCAGCTTATATTTAGATGATTTATACCTGGAGTGTTTTCTAGCCGGTCTAAAAACTGCTTTTGACATAAAGGGACGCTTTTTTTGGACGCCATGGACGTTCTCAAGTTTCCAGGCAGAAAGAACGGTAAAAATGCAGGCAGGGCGCAGGATAAAAGCACTCGGGACAAAATGTATGTGAAATGGTTTGATACAGTAATGTAATCCTAACAGATTACAATGTATTGTGTGTACGTCATGTTTTTACTTTTTTGAATCTCCCGTCGGTCGCGATGCTCGCAGGGAAGGGAAGACGGATGCCGGCTTCAGCCGGAGGACACAGTGGGAGGACACGGGGATCGCGTTGGACAAGGTAAGTTACACCGGGGCTTACAATTTAGAGTCTAGACCTACTAGCCAGGCACAAACCGTACTCTCCACCAGTTGCCCCACCCAACCTTGCCCAGGTCCGCCTCCAACCCCACCCCTGGCCGTCCCCCAGCCCTGCTTCAACCACGCCCCCTTAAAGCTTATGAAATTACATTTTTCTTTAGAATAAAGAGTCCAAAATATAAAAAACTGCAATTATAACATAGCTTTATTATGTCAATTTAAACTTAACAGCAATAGCTTAATAGCAATAGGGTGCAATCAAAATATCAAGTCTTACAGGTTTAAACCTGGAGTGAACATTTTTGTATTTTTTTTGTTTATCTCTTGCATCTTTAAAAAAGAGACTTTAGTAACTAAAGTCTCTTTTTAAAAGATGTAAGTTTAGTTCTCCTAGATTGTAAGCTCCAAGGAGCAGGGCCCTCCAACCCCTCGTGTATCACATTGTATTGTTATCGTATTGTGGCATGTTCTGTCCCCCTTTGTAATGTACAGCGCTGAGCGAACTGTTGGCACTTTATAAATACTGTATAATAATAATAATAATAGTTTACAGAAATATAGCATAAGAAAGTGCTTATTTTGTTGCCAATAAAATGGAATAATAGTTACTGTAAACATGTTGTATTTTTTATCTCCAGCAGAAACCTTAGAGAAGTGTGGCATTAAGAAAAAAGTGCCTCTTGTGATGGCCAAAAAACATTGCATAAAATAAATAACAATAGTAAACATTTTGCATTTTTTATCTCCAGCATCTTATTAACCTCCCTGGCGGTATTCCCGAGTGTAGCTCGGGGTAAAGTTTCATTACCACAAGCGGTAACCCTGAGCTACACTCGGGCTTACCATGCAGCGCTGCTCCGCGATCTCTCGGTCACTTACCTTGTTCTGCTCTCCCGCGATGTCCCTCCTGCAGTGTCCCCTGTAATGTCCTCCAGCGGATGCCGGCATCTGTCATCTGGGTTCCGTCCCCTGCGAGCGTCGGGACGTACGGGGGACGGAACCGGAGGGAAATTTGAAAATGACAAAAAGTGACATTCAGTAAATACACTAAAATCACATAGTATAACATTCCTGTATCAAACCATTTCACATACATTTTGTCCCGAGTGCTTTGTCCGGCGCCCTGCCTGCATTTTTACTGTTCTTTCTGCCTGGAAACTGAGAAACGTCCATGGCGTCCAAAAAGTGTCCCTTTAGGTCAAAAGCGGTTTTAGACCGGCTAGAGAACGGCGATAGTAAATTAGAACCACTTGCAGAATTGAGTGATAATGATTCGTGGGGGAAATTCGTCATCAGACACTGAAAACGATTTTGCGACTTTGCTCAGTGATGTGCAAACTTGGCGCTATATTTCAAATTTCAGTGTTTTTGGTTTGATTACATTATTGAATTAAATTTATTATTATTATATTATTATTTTTTATGAATATTTATTAAATTATAATTTATTATTTCGTGTTTCAAGTTTTATCATCCCCGGGATGTGTACTAGACTCTTGTTCGGACAGATTTCAGTGAGTTATTCCTAAGAATTACAGGCCTAGAATATATAACGCCAAATTTCCATGCAAAATAATGGTACTGCTTTCAGCACCAAAAATCTGAAATAATCATACCGCCAGGGAGGTTAAAAGAGAGCTTAGAGAAGTCGTGCATTAAGAAAAAACAAAAAGTGCTTATTTAGATGCCAAAAAACATGTCAGGACATTAGTAAACATTTCACCAAGATGTGCTAATAGAGCAGCCATGGTTTGTGTTGTACAGCAGGACCAAGACTTGTTTAATACCCTTTTTCTGATGCAAAATACCACTTCAGTGGCTGTGTGTGGGTTACAATCTAGCGAACCTCTCCTCGAGTCCCCCGCGGCGGTGGAGAGGGTGTCTCCTCTTAGCGGAGGAGAGTGGACCTCTCCTGCACCTGTCCCCTCAGCGGCGCTGCCAGTGTAATGGTGGTGCCAAAGAAGCCGCAAGTGGGAAACTGGAACTCAGCTTCAAAATGAGGCTTGGAGCGCAGGTGCAGCCACTCCATCTCTGTGCTCTCCACTCGCCAAACAAGAATTTCTCCTCGCATTTGGCGAGCGGGCGAGTGGCTTTTTCAAGCCTTGAGTTACACTACACACACACACACACGTACGCTACAGTTTAATCCTGAGTGTGGCTCCGGGTTACCGCTTTTGGTACTGAAAATTACCCCAGAGCCACAATTACCGCCAGGGAGGTTCATGGTATCTGGGATTGCATTCAAATGGCAGGTCTGGATGAAATTTGAAGGGCTTTCAGATAAAATTAGTTGACCCAATGATGAAGAAAGAATGCTCTGATGAATCCTGTTTCAGAATTTCCATACCATTAAGATCAACAGCACAACCATTGGTCCTTCCCCCTCATGCCAGGGTGCTTGGTGTAATCCTAGACTCTGACCTCTCCTTTGGGCCCCACATCCACTCACTGGCTAAATCCTGCCACCTCAACCTCCGGAACATTTCCAAAATCTGCCCCTTCCTGACCAATGACACCACAAAACAACTTATCCACACCTTGGTTATATCCCGCCTCGATTACTGCAACTCCCTCCTCACTGGTCTACCGTTACACAGGCTGTCCCCCTTCAGTCTATTATGAATGCTGCTGCTAGACTTATACACCTTACCAACCGATCAGCGACTGCCGCTAGACTCATACACCTTACCAACCGATCAGCGAACTGCTGCCCCTCTCTGCCAATCCCTCCACTGGCTTCCACTAACCCAACATATAAAATTCAAAATACTAACCACAGCTTACAAAGCCATCCACAACACTGCCCCTAGCTACATCGCCAACCTCATCCACAGATACTGCCCAAATCGCCCACTCCGCTCCTCCCATGATATCCTCCTCTCTAGCTCCCTCATCACCTCCTCCCACGCTCGCCTCCAGGACTTCTCCAGAGCCTCTCCCATCCTCTGGAACTCCCTACCACAGCATGTCCGGTCAGCCCCCACCCTGTCTACCTTTAGGCGATCTTTGAAAACTCACTTCTTCACGTAAGCCTACCCCACCCCCACCTAAGAACTGTACTTGAATCACCTCCACCAGATCATCCCCCGCAGTTATCACCTTTTTATATCACCTCCCCCTTCCTTTAGATTGTAAGCTCCACAAGCCGGGCCCTCCTATTCCTTCTGTACGGAAATGTATTGTAATTGTACTGTCTCCCTTATATTGTAAAGCGCTGAGCAAACTATTGGCGCTATATAAATCCTGTATAATAATACAAATGTTTCAATGAAAGTCAAATCATGTATGACAAGAACATACCCAAACCCATGGCTCCGCTCCAGATTGGCTGCTTTTATCCTACATGGACAACCAGGTGCTGGCTTCCGCAGTCCGTCTTC